ATAAAGTAAAAAAGAAACGGATAATTACTTTTCTTTTTTTATTTGTCCAAAAAAATTTAAAATGAAGTAAAAATAAAAACACGAGGATCAGAGAGAGAGTGTAGAGAATCAAAGTAATGGTCAATAAAGACCCACTTACAGTCCTAGGCTATGATAAGTGTCAGTCAATGCTTGATGACTGAATAAATATACTTTTTTTTTAAATTTCCAAAGATATTTCGAAGTAGTCTTGGGAATGTGGATGAGATTGAATGCTAAAAGAAGACGTCGGCACTCTCAATATATTACAATGATTTTCCCTAGTCTTTATTTGAAGTTTTATATTTTTTGTCATAGCACAACATGTCAGACTAAGAATAGAATATGTTACGAAGAAATCCTTCTATTTGTTGTTATGCGTAAATTCTTACCTTTTCTTATAACATTTATTCCTATAAAATTGAATAAAAACAAGTTTTTCTTTTTTATCCAATTCTCGGAATAACTTATTAAAGTAAGAGAAATATCTGACTGAAAACTAGAGATAATGAAAACAACAAGTTTTTTTTTTCTATTCGCCTACATAATGACGTCAATATAAAATACTTTTTTATTGAAATAATTGATAAATAAAAACAATAAATTTATTTCCTTTTTGTTAAACTAATTTGTGAACAAACTTATGCCAAATGTCATTTATTAACAGATATTAATATAGTAAATAATCATGATATTTAAAATTTTGAGGAAGGATGTGAAAACAAACTGGTTCCGAATAAATTTAATGTTATTCTAAATAAAAAAACAACATTGAATATCATAACTTGAAGAAGGAAAAGCAAAGTTTCCTGAAAACGGCAAAAAAAAATTTATCTGCACAAAATATTTTGTATTTAATTATTTGAAGAATAACATCTCAGATATAAAATTAGTTTTGTAAAAGAAACTCATCTATAAGAATCATGAAGACAATTATGTTTCAGAATGTGAGTCTGGGTGTTGGTGTGAAGGTAAATACTAGTCGCATCACACAGATATCCACACTCATTATCTACTTTCAGTTATAAAATGATAAACAGATGTTTCTGTGCACTTGTTTTATTTTATTAAGAAGAAAAATGATAACATTATGATGTTTCATTAATAGCCATATTCCAAAAATCGATTTCAAATTCCATAATAGTATTCCATAAGTGAGATGCATCATTTTTATCATCATCAGAAGCTGTTACCGATGCATTATCAACATATACTCGAAGTTGATCAATATATAGTTCAAATTCTTTGGATCCCCATCGATCAGCATATTCTTGATAATCGCGATTTTTTACTGATTTCCAAGCTTGATAATAACAGATCTCTATAGCATAGTATGTTGTAATTAAACTCAAATAAGATTTTTTAGATGAGATCAATTCACTTATCCAATTTTGATAATTAAGATTAGCAGGTAATGGTTTAATATTCTCAATATTAATATTTTTTTCTTTTAATTTTTTTTCAAACCAAGTTAATTCTTCTTCTAATGTTGAAAGACCACTAATTAATATTTTATAATCCTGTCGAGGAGCATTAACAAGTACATGAGCAACAAAATGACAAAGATGTTTAACAAATAAATAATCTTGAGTTAACCATCTATCAAATTGTTGCTGTTTAAGTTGACCATTAGATACCAATTGAATGAATTCATGTTCAGAAGAAGCTCTAAATAATTTATCACGTGACAAAGATGCACTGAAAGACATTATTTTAAGATATAATTTGCTTGATAAATAACGTCTATATATAATATAGGATGAAAAAGCTGACAATAGAATAGATTCAGCCAAGCGTTATAAACGAAATAGTGCATAAATAACTAACACATATTACGTATTTATAAGGATAAGAATTAACCAAATAGAATCATTGGTGTTTCAAAGAAAATTATTGAATTTATTCTTCTCGGTTTTTAATAATTCAATTCAATACATTTTGTGGACGATGTTATGATTCTCATATTAGTTTAGAACTTTATTCACCATCTTCTGAAGAAAACGAATAAAACTAATTGCAATATAGTTTGTTTTGCTATAGCATGCCAACATAAATCAATAATAAAAATTTTAATTTTTTCTTTTAAAAGTTTTATAGTAAAAAACTGTACAAAAAATTGTAAGATCAATTTTTTGATGATTTTGTTCTCTTACTTTTTTGTCATAGTTCAAAACGAAAGCCTTTTCCATTGTGCAATCTAGATTTGTTCATATAGTTTACGAAAAAGTTTCAATAATGCATCTTTAAAAAAATATTCGCAATTTTATTTTTTTTCTCAACTTTTTCTACATACAAAATTGAAAAAAGATCTTCCAAACATCTTTGTTATATTAAATACGATCTAGAAAGTAAATCTATTATAACAAATAATGTTACAATCATTTTCTTCTAAAGCAACATGAAATATTTATCGTATAAATAGTTTCATTTGTGATGATAAAGAATATGTGCATCTTATTTGTAATTCAAAAATCATTGGAACGAAATATTCATAATTCTGGATTATAACTAGTCCATGACTAAAAAGAAATTGATCGCGACGGAATATAAACGTAGTTAGTTCTTACTGGTTACCGAAAGAACATAAAATTCTTCTTTCATCTTTATTTCTCTCTTATCATCAATCTTTTTTTTATATTAAAGTCTAATTTCATTTTTGGTATATAGAACAAAATTTACAAGTTCGAAATTATTTATTTTGATGTTCAATTGTTGCATATAATGGTAAAATTTCATTTCGACCAATCCGAAATCTGAAAGCACATGAAATATTTTTTTTTGAAAAAAAATTTATCTTTGCATTATAATCTCCATCTTCAAACATTTCAATATCAATAGCAAGATCAAATAATGCTCGTTCTTCAACATTTGCCATTGATGATTCAGCACATGTACATGAACATAATAATACTAAATCTTTCTCATGTAATTTTTTTAAATATTCATATGTATCTTTTAATAATGCACAAGCTGAAATAATTTGAAATAAATCTTCTTGTTTCAATAATGGATATTCAAGATAACCATCAATAATAATAATATCATAATTATTTGAATTTGATATTAAATGTTTATGTATTTCGACTAATGTTAATAGATAATGAAATTGAATTAAATGTAAATTAGCTGTTGATAATGATGTTGGTATTAATGAATGAACAAGTGATGGAATCGTTTGAAATGGTATTGGTGTATAAAAATAAACACGTTTACCAATTGCAGCATAAGATAGAGATGCTTGAAAAAGTAATGAACGAAAACATTGATCAGCATCACCACGTATTAAACAAGTTCGAGCAAATGGAAAATTTGCTTGTAAACATTCCGAAAAACAAGTCTTTTCAGAATTATTTTGATTAAAAAAATTTCCAAGAGGAAATATTGCACCAACAATATTCATTCTCAGTAGTTTCAAATAAATACATACATAAAGAATTTATAATGATTCGTTATAGAATAAATAAAAAGAAGAAATATCATGTTTATGATGTCACTATAAGATGGTAGAATTTATTTAATTGAGTCAGTGCCGGATTTAGGGGGCGATCGTCCCTCCATACTAAAAAGTCGCTCCCCTCCCCCAGGGACGTCCGGAGGGGGGGATCGTCCCCCCCTTCCCAGACTGAAATACCTGGAGGGGAGTACAGGTCGAGCATTTTTTCAGAAATCTGGAATAACCCTTTTCCATGATGAACTTTTCTGAACAGTTGTCAATCCCCCCCCCC